GGAAGGAAGGAAGGAAGGAAGGAAGGAAGGAAGGAAGGAAGGAAGGACAGAAATGCATGTCAATTAATACAATTAATGTCTTTCTGAGTTTGTAAAGTCCTGCATTTAGGTAAGTAAAATCAACTGTATTACTACAAGATGGCTTGTCAGAGTGCATCTAAAAGGGAGCTAGGACTGCTAAAGTGCAATGAGGTGGCAAAAAAGCAAATGAAATTTTAGGCTACATAGTGTCCAAATCATGAGGTATACTATCTAGATCACGAGAACTAATGGGACCACTGCATTCAAACCTATTTGTTCAGAAGATTCTGTAAAATACTGAATCTGGTTCTGGGCACCATGGTTTAAAAAGGATATTGCCAAGTTGGAATATGTCCGGAGAAGGGTGGCAAATATTATTTATTATTATTTATTTATTTAGAATATTCATATGCCGTCCTGTCGCAAAGGCCTCAAGACAGTTTACATAAATAAATGTATGAAAGCCTGAAATATGATGAAAGCCTGAAGGCCAAGTCCTGTGAGGAAAGGTTGGGTTGCGTTTGTGTAGAAGAGATAATTTAAAGAAATTGTGATAGCCATCTTCCAATGATTACAAGGCTATCATACAGAAAATGAAGCACTTTTTTTCTGTTTTACCTCAAGGTTGTACTCAAACTACTACTTTCAGATTGCAAGAAAGTAGAAACATAGAAACAGAGCGAGTCAGAAGGGATCTCCCGGGCCATCTAGTCTGACCTCTGGCACCAGCCGGCTCCGCTCACGACATGCCCACCATGTGGACGTCCAGCCCATCCTTGAACACCCTCACTGACGGGGCCTCAACGACCTCTCGTGGAAGCCCATTCCACACCCTCGGGGTCCTGACTGTCAGGAATACTTCCTGGCATCCAAATGGAACCTTGGCTCCCTGAGCTTTGCTCCATTGGAGCATGTCCTGCCTTCCTCTGCAGGAGAGAACAGGTCTCTACCCACCTCCATGTGACATCCCCTCACATACCTGTATGTCGCCAACATATCCCCTCTGAGTCTCCTCTTCTCCAGGCTGAAGAGACCCAGTTCCCTCAGTCTCGCCTCATACGGCATCCCCTGCAAACCGGCCACCCACCTTGTGGCCCTACGCTGCACTGACTCCAACCAGGCTATATCCTTTCTGTAATGAGAGGCCCAAAACTGAACACAATACTCCAGTTGTGGGCACACCAGAGTTGTGTAGAGTGGTAGTAATACCTCTCTTGATCTAGTAAATTTAGGAAGAAATTCCTAACAGTCTCAGAATGTGGTATCTTCCTCTTCATTAGAGATTTCTAAGCGGAGGCCTATCAGGGATGCTGTAGCAATAAATTTCCTACATAAGCAGGAGGTCAAACTAGGTGAGCTTTGATGTTCTTTCCAACTTCATTTCATCCATTTGACCAAGGTGATATGCCTATCTGAGCCCTAAAACTCATCCTAGTCTTTGGTCCAAGCCAGGCATCCATCTTGTTTGGCAAAGCCATGTGCCATCTAGTGCATAAAATGTGGTAAAATTTACCACATTTTAGATAAACGATAGATTTCCAAAGTCACCAATTGCACTTGGCTCAGATTGGAACAGCAAACCCGGTTCCAGCTTCCCACATATTTTTTCCTGTTCTGTGCTAAATGCCATCTGAAACTTTTCATTCTTGATTTATTTATTAGATTTGTTTATAAGCTGCTTGTTAACATCATGCTCTCTGGGCAGCCATTACAAGATAAAATTAACATTATGTTAATAAAATACGTTACAAATAACATTAACAAAGTAATACAATTAAAATATAATAAACAGAATGAAATCATAATACAATAATTAAATAAAAATAAAACATACATTCCTAAATTTAAAAACCCATGAATAGTCTAGATTGTACCAAAGTTTAGATGTACATAGTTTAGTACATAGTTTAGATGGTATTAGCAGCTGAATCTTACTTTAACACTCCCTCAGGACACCTGAGATAGCAGGCTAATTTAGGGGTCCCAGGGTAGACCTTACAGCATAAGGCTCTGTATTCCAGCTGAAGGAAGAGCTGGGTGTCCAGAGAAAGAGCCAGGGGCCACTGACATCCCCTCAGTATCTACTACTGGAAGTGAATGCTTCACTCTGCCTAATGGTAGGGCCAGGCCTATATAGCTCCCTCTGCCACCGCTGCCCTAGTTGGGATGCCCACACAATCTGAAAACCTGACCACATGAGATCCATCTGTCTCCATCAGGTGTTTGTGTTTGTTAGATTGATATGCCACTTTTCCACTCACCCATAAAATACATGACAAAACTGTCATAATTAAAATATCAAAACATCAATTGGAATCCATCCAGTTAATAACACATCTAATAAAACACAAATACAAATATAAGACAAATAAAACACATTGATAAGAAAGAACAACATCTAAAAACCTATTTTATAACAAATTGGCATACTTGCATCAAGCCTGCCTAAATAAACATGGATTGGTGGGCAAAAAGAAAACAGAAATGGAACTAGCCTGGGCTCCATTGACAGGAGTTCCACAACTGGGAATGGCCACCAAGAAGGCCTTCTCACATATTCCTGGCTAATGTGCTTTCGATAATTGTGGACAGAGACGTTGGCCCGTTCTGAGGATCAGATCCACATCTGGAGCAAGCAGGAGCAGTGACTGACCGTCACCCATGTTTGGCAGAAAGATTTCCCCCACAACCAGTACATGCACCCAATGATCATCTGCAGCTTCTGGGTGCCTTGCTTGATCTCCTCCTCTGGCAATCTCAGCAGAGTATCAAGCATCTGCCCTGCCAGCTCTGCCGCAGCCCCAATGGGCACAGCTGCTACTGCTGGGCAGGCTCAGATGGAAGGGTGTGGTTGGTCAAATAGCCTTATCTCAAAGCGTTGTGTACTCAGAATAGGCACATCAGCAGTTTCAATTGTGTCTGGAAATAGACCAGGAGCCAGTGAACATCTTATAACTAGGGAGGGGTGTGCTCCCTGTAACTGGGCAAGGTCACAGAATACCTGACACTAGATTCCAGCTACAACGAATGGCATCTGAGAAGCATGTGTTCTTGCATATAATGAATCTAAATAGATGCCATCTTGCTAGATCTGGCTATAAAGATAAATCAAGCATCCAGGAGCGTAAAGTGTACACAAAAGGAACTGAAGAAGTAAAGAAAGTCAGTCAGTCTTCTACTTTTTCAAAACTGAAAATACCTTTCTTGACCATGTCAAAACACAAAAGTGGGAAGGATTGGGTGAGTGGGAAGGACCCCATATTTTCAGTTTCAGCCATGTCTGGAAAAGTAATACCTGGGCACTACCATGACACTTTCTTTCCAACAGGACATCCCTTCCCACCACCGCTTCAGCAGAATGGCACAGTGATTGTTGACAGCCCTCCCCACAACTCACGATTGATCCACAGTGAGCGATCTACTTCTGTTGAGATTGGTGGCAGCACCATCCTGCTATGCCGAGTGCGGTCCTCCCTTCTGGTGCTGCAACCTCTTGGGAGCAACGCCAGATAGGGCACAGCCAAATCTTGTTCTGCCCAAGTCTTTTTCTCCTGAGGAGTCTGAGCAAAGCATGACTTGTCTCCATCTGGTGCTGCTACTGCTGAGTGGCCACAGCACCAGATGGCAAGAGCCAAAGCCCACTTTGCTTGGCCTCCAAAGCAGGCAAGCAAAGCACAACTCCCCACTCTTGACAGGTGACAGTGATGAAGAGCAAAATCTCAGAGAAGCCTCTGAGAATTGCCCCAAGAGCCATTTGAGCTGTGTGGGCGCTTGGCCAGAGTCACTTGGCACAATAAGCATTTGGGTCAGAGCAAGGGCTATCATGTGGACTGGGCTTGGCTGGCATGGCAACTATTGGGACAGCTCCTAAACCCTATAATGAGCCATCAGCTGCTGGGTGACTGCCCCACTGAGAGTGGCAAGTTTGCTGGTCATGTTGTATGAAATGCAGGAATGCAAAGGCAATGTTGTTGTCTCCCTTCCATATATTTTTGATTATGTCTCTATGGACTAAAACCCTATTCAAAATCTTTTCAATACTTCATTTCTATCAGTGGCCCTAAATAAATAAATATGTGCAGACAAAAGAATAAAGGCCCCCAAAGAAATTAATTCCATGAAGCAAAGCAAGCAAAAGCCCCTTTGCAGTAGATGGAAGCCCTTTGGGCAAGGGTACCTCTCAGATTTGGAAACTCATTCATGTGAAGTAAGTTTGCCTGGTGACATCATGCTGAAAGAAAGAAAAGTGGAAAACTGTGTGATATGAACCATAGAGATATGAAAGTCCAAAGGGACTATGCTTAATAAACCAGTCTCACATTAGTAAATCTTTTGTTGATTTATTTAGCCCAGACTTAAACACTTGCTTGAGGGTCTTGCAGCTTGTCATTGTGCCACCACAAATTATCAAGTGAGTTTGTCTCTCCGTTTCTCAAGTAAAATGGAAAGTGCTGGGAATGGGGATAAAAGTTACAACTTTTCAGACATCGGAAAAGGGAAGTTGTGGGGGTGGTGACGTTCAACTTGTCTTGAAGTCATTTAACTCATCACTTTACAAATACAGGTTAAGAATGAGCTCGGAGCTTTCTGGTGTGTGGGTTGTGGCCAGATGAGAATTAGTATACGTACTGCTTGCTGAAGGAAGAGGCATCAATTTGGAATGCAAGTCTTTAATCATCAGTTTCTACTTACTGTAAGTTTACTGTAAAGGACCTTCTTGCTTCCTTTTCTTTCCTTGCTTTAGCTACAGACTAAGAATATCACTTATTTCTACTGATATTGGTATATATGGGGAGGTAAGAGCCTTTGATTTCATTTCCCCACCCCATTAAGATTGTGCCCTCTCTTTTGTTTTAGCACAAAACTGTTATGGGGAGAATAACAGGGCAGGGCTGAGTGTGGGACACTCCATAGTAGATGCTGAAAGAGGAACCTTATAGTTGTGCCTGCTTTTTCTTTCCTTTTTTGCATTTGCTAGCGTATTAAAGACATCAGTATACTGGGGATCTTTGAAAAGGCGTCCATAGATCTTTTGGTCCAACCACTTGCCGTACGGCAGGAACTCTTGAAACTCTCTGGGATAGGTGAGTCTACAACAGTTCTTGGTCCTTCTGGCTGTGGATGCTAGGAATTATAGTCCAATACAACTGACAGGGACTGAGTTGGAGAAGGCTGCTTAATCTTCTGTTAGCTTCTTCTGTATATGAACATAGAACTCTGAAGTTACCTCCAATCTTTTGATCAAAGCTGCCCTCATATTTTATTCTCAATGGGTGCATCAGATAATTGTTCTTTCTTTTCTAAGACTTTCTTTTACATATTTGGAAATGTTTGGCATGTCACCTTTCTTTATCTTGCTTAGTTCTGTCAACTTTTCCTCATGTGGTATTCATTTTAGATTATTCATCATCCCTGCAGCCACCTCTCCTTGTAAGTTGTGTACTGCTTAGAGAAGTTTGGTTATTGGTTAGTACAGACATTTAATACATGTTTTGGAAATGGAACATGATCTCAAGTGCTTCCAGATGGAGAGCTCCTAAGACTAGGCAGAAGGCAGAAGGCCAAAGGCCCTGTGCAGCTAGTCTGTCTTTTAATCCTTAATAGACTTTCTGTTATAAGGAAAAAGACAGAAAATTGATGGGGAAACACAGGAGGGTTATGAGTGGAGGATGATGACATCTGGAACTCCTCATAAAATTCCATGAAAGAGTCAGGTGATGGCAGAGCTTTGTCTGAAAACACCCTTAGTCTTAATCTTTCCTGTAAGTATACCAGCTGAAAATGCTTCTCTTTCTACAGTCTTACCAGTTTTCTTCCCACTGTTTCTAGAGCCTTAAATCTCATGCTCTGTTATAATATAACTTGTGTCACACACAGCATTGCATTTCTGCCTTATGTTCATTTTTAAGCAGCTATTACTACTGAAATTCTTCCTAGTAATTTAGAAAATGATCACCCAATTTCTATTGGAAATCTGTTGCCTTTTTTATCCCTATCTAGTTATACTTTTATTGTTTCCTTTACAAGGTTACATATTACTGATATCATTCAATTAATGAATATGATTTCATTCTTTTAACTATTTTAACTTTCTACTCTTCACTCCATTAGATATAAATGGATATAAATTCTGTAAATGAAATAATTCTGGTTCTCCTTTTAACTAAGATTATTTTGACCTTTTAAGCCTGTGCGCCAGCCTGTTGGATGTTGGGTGCTTCACATACATATAAAAATATAGTCCATGCATTTCACAGACACGTGCTTTGTAGAATCACAAATGTCAGAATTGGCATATAGTCCAAGCATTTCACAGACACATGCTTTGTAGAATTACAAATGTCAGAATTGGCATTAGCTTTTAGTTGTTGGAAATACATATTTGTAATCATATAATAGGTGAACCAGTCCATTTTTGTACCTTTATTCAAGATAAGCTTCGCCCAAATGCATTTAAGGGCCCACTTATAGTTCAGTCCATTCTTATGCCATTGCAAAACGGATATCTCTTCTTTCTTTTCCTTCCTTACACTTTCTTTTATGTGCCTTGCCTTTTTATTTGTAATCCCAATAGTAGGGCCTGCCTCTGTCTTTGATTGATGTGAGCTGATTTGGGAGACAATTACTGTCTGAAAAGTGGGATCTTAAAATGCAGTAAACAAACAAATGGGTGTCAAATTGATAGATATGTTTTCACCCTTTTCTTTAAGAAATTGAATAATACATATAGTCTGGAAATTCTATTTGATGCTTGATTTCAGGTTCCTTAACTACTGTCCTGAAAGAACAATTGTGTCTAGTCCCTTCAAGCCCATGTTTTACTGACATGTTGTAATTAATGTTAATGGGCAACTGGATGCAGGTATTCATGCCTTGAGCTTCAAATAAATAAATAAAGGCAGTAATGAGAATGGGGAACAAACTATCAATATTGTCTGTTTAGTCAACTAAATCATCTCAATTGCATGGAAATCCAACTTTGCTTTCTATAACTTCTTGTTGTTTCATTATTTCCACAAGGTAGTCTTGAAGAAATGATGCACATACAGAAAGCAGAACTGATGTTCTCCAGACCTAGTCTCAAGGGGTTTCTCTGGCTTGGCCTTTTTGTACTTCAGTCTTATAGTTCAGGTAAGCCCAATAATTGAGTGCACATATGTCATAATATAAAAACATTTCTTGACCTCCTTTATTTATTCTGAGCTAAAGCAAAAATAATTGCTAATGGCACAGGCTTCTGCAGTGGAATGCATTTCCAAATAAACAACAATAGGACCCAGTTGTACAACTAGGGTGCCTGTGTGGTATTAAACAAGCCATTCTTCTTTGGCTTTCTATTTGCCATATGGTGATTGAATGGGCCCAGTAGTATCTGTCCAAGAGTTCTTAAATAACTTAAATATAAAATGGCTCATCTTCTAACCAAAATGTGAAACTTATCCACTTTCTGATATAATGCTAACTTTAAGAGAGAGGTAGATCCAAGAAGTTACAGATCGGTTTGCTTGTGTGTGAATATGATTAAACATAACATTTGTAAGTATATGGAAGATCAAGTCTTGGCAAGGAAGAATCAGGATGGCTTCTACAAAGTCCCAGCTTTCCAACCTCCAGGAGGAGCTGTGTTTAGAGTCAATAAACATGTGGATAGGGTAATTTGGTAGACATTATATATTTGGACTTGAATGAACTTTTGAAAGAGTATGTCAGCAAAAGCTTCTGCCTCTGTCATAGGAAAAAATTGCAGCTCTTCTTAGGTTTTAATGACTGATTAAACAAGAAAACAGTAGAAGGAATGTGAAACTCTCACAATGAAGAATTGGAAAACGTTCTTGTGTACGAACCTGACTTGTTAGCTTGTTGATAAATGCTCTGGAGCCAAGAAAGTGACCAGATTTGTAGATGAGACCAGTTTATACAAAATAATTTGTTGGCTGTAAGCAGATTAAATGGAGCTTTTAAAAGATTATTTCCAAATGTATAGAATAGGAAACAAATGGTTTAATGTAATTGTAAAGTAGCAAATACTGGGTTGAAAAGGGGGATTGAGAGAATGAGAGAGAGAGAGAGAGTCACTTGCTAGGAATGAACAGGAAAGAGACTAAAATAAAAACTGCCAATATAATAACGTACTTATGCAAATCAATGTTATTGCTGCATTTGGAATGCTGTGTATAATTTTCACTGTACACAGTATAATTGGTCATAGAATTAGAAAAGATTCAGAAGATGATAATTGAAATGAACAAGAGTTTGAAGCATTTCTGTACAGGAAAGCTTAAAATTTTGGGAGCTTTTAGTTTGGAAAAGGGTACATTAAAGGGGACACAACAGAAGTATATAAAATTGTAGAGGATGTGGCAGAAGCAGATGAAAGGGTTTTTCATTCTCTCTTGTAAGACTAGATACAGACCAAAGGATTCTCTGCACAAGGCATTTTTTGGGTGGTGGTGATTCCTTACTCAAAGAAGTTTTCAGGTGCTTTACATAATGTTGCCACCCTTCCAGGGCCCTCCCACACTTTCCAAGCTTGTGGTCTTTTTCAGTGAGGAAAATCTTGGTGTCGTCTCACAATGGTGAAATAAAACACAAGTATTTTCATCATTCTGCTATCCCATGGTATCACTTTGTCATTCTGTAGTGGAACATAAAGAAAGGCAGAGAAAGAAAAATACTGACACAAAAATACATGTAAAAGAGCCAATTTTAATCCTGCAAAGAATCCAGAAACCTCAAGTAAGGTGGAAAATTAAATGCCTCATTTAGAGATGCCCAAAGAAAGTGCTTCTTCACATTTCTGTATAAAACAAGCAATGCCTAATTAAAGAATGGACTGCATTGCCAAAGGCTGTGGTGATGGGCACTAGTTTAGGTAACTTTAAAGGGAAATAAGATAAATCAGTGTAGTGTATTAGTCATGATGACTCTGCAGAATCTCCATGCATAAAGGCATAGTACCAGAGTCTAGGGAGCAATCACAAATGAGAGTATTCTGCCCAATTCATGTTTGTGGGCTTCCTGAAAATTTCTGGTTGGATAAAAGTATGAAAAAGGACATTAGATTACTTTGGGGTTTGCCAATGTGTGTTCCTACCTATGCTTGGACTACAGCTTCCATTATGCCTCACCACTGACTATGCTGGCTAGGGCTAATGAGTATTGTAGATGAATACATGTGGAGGGACATAAATTGCCCAATCCTATGTTAGATGGATGCTCTTTTTGATCTAGCAGGGCTCTTCTAAGGAACTTATAATTAATAATATTGCCTTGCAGAGTTGTAAAGATTGTGTGATGTTGTATATAAAGCTGCTTCAAAGTGCTGCATACTTGCTAAGTGATGAGTATTATATTGCCATGGCAACTATAGCATGGCAGGGATCTGAGGGTGTGTTGCACTTCCTATTCCTTCACAGGTTGTCCTTAAGCTCTAGGTGGTGAGAGATAGTATCCACTCCTGCCTGTCTGCAAACAGGGCCCACTGCCACTCTCATTCTGTCCATGATCAGTCCCATCAATTCTCTTGTGCAAGCAGCTCCCACTGCTTATGTAGTGGTGATTTAGTGCTTCCTGGAGCAAGCCCTGAAACAAAAAGAAACCCTCATGTCTGGAAGGGAGCAGGTCATTGAGGTGCCCACTTCCTGTGGTCTGAGTCTGCCCTGCCCAGCCCTCCTTGCACTGCTCAGGACATCAGATTTAAGCTTTACTTCAAACGTGACCCCTTTTCCTGACACTGCCTCTTCCCTGTTTGTTTCTCAACTATATGTTGGTGCGATGCTTCTTTTTCCTGTGTATTACTAGTGGACATTTCTTGTTTTTAAAAGCAAAGACTTCAGTCATGTCTACAGCTTACATGTCTATTGACTCAGCTAAATGCACTGGGCTTTCTTCTGAGTTAACATGGCTAATACTGAGCTGCAACTTTTGCAGTGACTTGAATTAGCAACTTGCTGAGATGGACAAACCAAACAAAGAGACCAGCAAATGAAGTTATCTGGAGAAGCATTTACTCTAACATGAGGAAGACATTTAGCTGCCTTTTTCATTTGTTCAGGGATCTGAACAAGGTGCTCCAGTCGATGGTGTCAGTCTTGGTCCTTGGAGAGCTGTTTTCAAATCCCAATCCACTGAGTGACCTTAACTGCCTTATTGTTTCAAAACTGTGTGCAGTTCATCTTTTCTTCCTTGGTGGGAAAATCAAAAACTTCCTTTACTGACTTCATACTCCCTCCTTCTTCATTACAAACAGTACAATAGAAATTACTGTTTAGCAATAATTAGGTTCCTAACAGAGCAATCTTTTGGCTCCTCAAATGGTATCTAAGGAGCAACAGATACTAGGTCTTCCATCTGAAAGCTGTTAAGAAAGGTAAAGCCTTAACAGAGGGAATCTATGTAGAGATTTTCCCCCACCCCAAGCTCTATGGCAGTTCCCTGTCCCCAGACTGGTGACACAGCCTCAGGAAGAAAGGAAATAGGCATTTTGGGAACAGGGTTGTGGACAGAGAGAAAGAAAGATGTGAACCACTGAGAAGCACAAATCTATCAGCTTCCATTCTTACCTGCGAACAACAACTAGATGGGCTCACAGTGAGGCTACATTATGTGCAGAGTTAAATAACCCACAATGAGCAGCAGCATATCTTCTGAAGATAGTTAATCATTTAGATGGATTCCCAGATAATTATTAAACACAGAGCCTAACATTCTCTAACTGACTTGTCAAGTCATAACTTAACATGGCATGCATAACTGTTTGATAAACTGGACATTCATTCTGACTGGGTTTGCACAATAGAAAAATGGTTAATAAGCCACCCCTGCATGTGCTGGTCATTCACTAGGTCATTTTCCTAATTACCCTTGCCAGAATCAGCTTCTCATGTTGTCCAAACATGGCACAGGTGGCTTGTTGGATAGTTAACAAACCACAATCCCAAATCCATGGACTGTTGTAGGGTTGTGTGCTGGTCTGTTAACCAGTCCAACAAGCCATCCTCACCATTTAGATGACACATGAAACCACAGAAGGGGTATAAACTCGCAACTTGGAGCCCATGGACACCACAGTCCATCACAGTGGCTGTAGAGATCATCCAGATGAGGTCACTAACTTGCCAAGTTGTGAGGATCATTTTACCACAACATTTCTCTCCTGATCAGAAATCTGGTTAGGCAGCGGAGTGGCAAAATTCTGCCAGTATAGAAGTAGTTCTATCAGTAGAAGAAGTATAGAAGGGCAAAGCAGTTTCAAGAGGAAGGGATGAGAGACTTCTCATGCATATTACCATTTCCTCAAGCTGAAATAAGCCTGTGCCTGTGGTTAAACTAAAAATACAAACACTCTTTAAAAAAATTTAGACAGGGTGCACTAACGAGTGAGCACAGAGTTTTCAGGGTGGACCCTCAGCCCCATATGGCTCTCCATCAGTGACACCTATGCTTCATGACTTGGTAGGACTTTACAATGGCAGGTTCGCCAAGTGGTGACATATACTCCTGCGGTTCTTGTATAATGCTTCTGAGGAAATGCCAGAACAAGAAGGTCAAATCTTTGCTCTGTTTTTATATCAGGTAGGATCCAGACTTAGTCATACTTAGAGAAGATTCATTGAAATCACTGTGACTTGATTTAGCCGTGCCTAATTTAAGTGCCATTGATTTCAGTGGGTCTGCTCAGTACAGGTCTGGATCCAGCCTAGATGATAAAACAATTTGTTCACTTGTTTATCTTGATTCAGATGACTATTTTGCTCTTCCTGGAAACCATTGTCTTAAGTAACAGTGAATGTGAAAACAGGACTGGGAAAATCCTCAACCAAACAGTTCAAAAAAAAAGGAGCAAGGAACAATATTAGGTATTAGATATTAGTTACATTATCAATAGTTATACAAAATTTTCTTAAATTCATATCAACAACAACAACTAATAAATAAAACATTACTCAAACTGTACAAAAAGTACACCGGTTCTACTTATAAAATGAGAAATCTGATCAGCAATAATTCTCTTTTTAATTCCAAAAGACTCCAGAGGACTGTCATTCTACCTCACATCTATGTATAAAGCTTTTTTTTTTCAGTTTTGCCAAATCCCACAGCTTAGCAACTTGTAAAATATGATAGATTTC